GAGCAGGTAGACGAGCCCAAACAGGTTGGCCTCGTACGTCTTGGAGGTGATGCCGCCGACGCCGCTGAAGCCCTCAGTGTCGATGAAGAGCACGCGCAGCGTGCTCCCGTCCGCCACCTTCACCTCGATCGGCTGGCTCGCGATCCACACTCCGCCGGTGTGCGACGTGACGCCCGAGCCAACCTCAAAGATGTTTTCGTGCTCGCCGCGGAAGAAGGCGCGGCCGAGGATGGAGCTCTTGCCGGTGCGCGTGGGGCCGACGGCGCTCACGATGGCGAAGGGCTCCGTCTGCGCCCGCAGCACGTTCAGGCCTTCCTCGACCAGCTCGAGCTGGCCGGTGGACACAGCGGGCTTGCGAAAGAGCGGCACGGCGTGCCACCCTTGGTCGCCGGAGAGACCGCCGAAGGCCAAGCCGACCTCGAGGAGGGCGAGGAGGGGGAGGATCGCCCGCGTGCCCATATATGAAGGCTCTGGTTCGAAGCTAGCAGAGGCGCCGACAAGTTCACGCTTGGGAAAAAGAATTGGAAAACGCACGAGGCAGACGAGAGCGACGCGACAGAGGAGGAAGCGACAGGAGGGAGAACGAAGAGAGTGGGACGACCGCGAGGTGGCATGAAGGTTGCAGCGAGAATCGGCGAGGGACAGTGCGAAGGGAGATAGGAAGAAGCAGACGCCCAAGGGTTAGGGTGGGCGACGGCTAGCACCACACTCCTCTCCTTAAAATCCCTGTGTGGTGGCGGCGTGCCGTCCTCCCATCCCTCCCTTGGGTTGTCTCTTTTCTTTCTTTCTTTACTCGGAGAAAAGCCCGATGACTACCTGTGAGGGAGGGTGTAGAGGATGTAGAGTACCCCTTCTGAGCGGGCCGCACTCTCGCGGCGGCTACAAGGAGTGACCCAGGTTGTTACGTTACGGCGCGCGAAAGTGCCATAATTGCCGACGGAAAAAAACAACGGGGACGCACAACTGGAAAGTGAGGGGCGAAGAGGAGTCAGGCGGAGCGGTACACAATGAAATCTACCGTGCTGGATGCGCCTCCCGCCACTCTCGGATCATCCGGCGCAGGATGTGGCTCGCGGGAAGAGACAGATAAAGGTAAGGTAAGGTAAACTTCTCCAGACACACGAGGTGGTGGAAGAGACAGATGTGCTCGCGCAGTGAAAACGAGTGCGGTGTGTCTAGTTGGCGTGGGTAATCTTGGTGTTGGTGATGACTTGAGTTCCCATGCGTCTCCTCTTACACGCGTTTATTTTGACCGGTCATGTGAGACCGGTCGGTGTATACTTTTGTCCGAAAGCGAAAACCGAATCCCAGATCCCACACCGCAAAAAGAGAGTAAAAGAGAATTTTTGACTGAGCCACGATTTGGCATGGCGCAGGACTCGACCAGACGCTGCTATCCGCGTGCGTCCAACTTTGTTGTGTGTCGCTGCGTCCGTCCGTGGGCAGCGTGGCCAGCGTGTGCTCGCGTGTGCGCCCCCCACCAAACGTCACCCTCTGGACGCCTGCGTACATCCTAGAGCC